ATTAGTAGGAATACCGAAATAATACCGGTATTTTATTACGGTTTTCGGTACATATCGGTTTCGGTACTATAACGGTAACGGTATACAATCTCTAGTATAATATCGGTATTGAAATCATACCGGTAATAAGTCCCTGATTACAACAATTGTCAACAATTTAATAAAATTTTCTACCACTCGTACTTTTTTTTCTCAAATTATTTAAACCTGAGATTCAGATCACAGGCACACAGTTTATTGAGAGTACAATGCGTCTCTAGAGTGGTAGTTGTAATTTACTTGTAATACAGAATGCATTTAATCGAAGAACATTATCACACATTTGAAGTAACTTTGTCGAAAGTGTTAGGCATTTGGCCATATGATAAGTCGCGATTCGTGCTACTGCAGAATTTGCTGATTATTCTCCTTACTGTACCACATCTTTGTCTACAGGTAGACAACATTTATAACTCAGAGCAAATATTACAATCTCGTATTTGTATGTTTTGTGTGTCAACTTAGAAAATTTTATAAAGCAACAACTTATTATTTCACTAAGTCATGATCGATTTTGTAAATTTGTCGTTTTCAGTTATCGGTTTTTATTACAACAAAATACACTATGACTCTTTTTATTAGAGTTATGGTATTTGCTTGTCCTAGTATGATACCCATCTTGATGTACATTGTTGTTATGTTTAAATCAAAATCTGTGAGTTATTTTTAAGATCACTTGCATAATTTACGATTGTACATGTGTTGTGACAATTTTGCATTTTGCAAATAGTAAATATGTATAAATCAATTTGTTACTGACAGATAATAAATCTGCACAATCAAATTCAGGAAGACTGGATGTTACTGCGTGACCAGTTGGAAACTGAAATTTTACAAAAAATTGTTCACGACAGCCACGTGTACATTCTTATTTATTTCTCTAAGAAACATGTTTGAATTATTGAAAAAGAATTATTTATAGTAAAATAGAATGCAAAAAAAAACTTGTTCTTTCTAAAATAAATTATTATCTTTAACAACACATTTTTACAATGCTTACAACACGTTTATATTGCATTACATTTATATTACATTAACGAAGACTGATTTTTTAATGTTTTATAGTGTATAGTGTTTTAATGATTGTTGGTGGAACCGTGTTGCAATTGTTACCGGTTGTACTCGACATTGTTTTTCCACTAGATGAACCTCGACCTCAGAAGCTTTTTATTATAGTAGAATATTTCGTTTTGGACGATAAGTATTTTTACACCAAAATGCTGCACAAACTAGTATTTATTGCGGTCTGTGGGATCATACTATTTACCAGCGCAACGCAGTTATTAGTACTTTGTTTTCATGCTATGGGAATGTTCAAAATTGCTAGGTGATTTATAATTGAGGTAACAATTTTTGTAGTTTGATCACGAATTACTAAAAACATTTGCAGACATTGAATAGAATACTTCGTCGAGGAGCGCGTGTTGCACGTATCAGATCCTGAAAAGGAACACGCAATTTGTCAGAGAATAATGCATGTTGTAATTGCACATCGCAGAGCCTTGGAGTTAGTAAATACTATTTATTACAACTTTTATTTTAGTAAAACATTACTTATAATGTATATATACATTACTTATAATGTATATATGTTTGATTATTTTTAATAAAATACTATAAAATAATAATACAAAATAATAACAAAATCAAGTAATTTATGATATTTTGAATTATCCAACATTTAGTGTGTTTTTTACGTAATCGTAAAATACGTAAAACTCTCTGCTTAAAAATGAATATCCTTGAGTATCTTTAATTGAATTGTACAAAAACTTTTAATGTTTATATGAGGTTTTCTTTTATTCAAGACTTTTATATGATAATCTTAAAGGTTCTCTCACTTTATGATATCGTCATTTAACTCAGTGTACAGCAGTACTTAGCTGTTCTTATAGTAACATCGTTAAGCATCAATTTGTATGGTGTAAGTAAAGTTCTTGCAGTAATAAACAAATATATAATGTTGATATATCTATAATTATAATATGTACAGTACATATGTTACACTTTTTTATTATAAAAATGTTGCCAAATTTGTAATTTATAATTTCCGTTAGATCGTCGAAGCAATAACGATATCGAAAAACTGGGAAATGTTAATATTATGTGTTATTTGTACTTTGGGACTTATAGGTTGTTTGCTTTTAGCGTTAGCTCTTGATGAGAAAATATATAACAGCAATAATGAAGTTTTTCACGCAATGTACGTATTTTGAACATAATTTTCTCTTC